GGGCGCTGGAGGGCAACAACCAAATAACACGGCGGGAGGGCCGTGTGCTCGCAGCAGCGACGGGAGGGGCGCGGGAAGGCAACAATCAATGCAGCCCCATAGCGCGTCGGGAGGGCGTGGGGGGGTGAGGGGGAGTTAAACATTAGCCCCGTAGCGCGTCGGACGGGGCGCGAGGTGGGAAAAAAAAAATCTAAGGCCCCATGGCGCGCCGGACGGGACGCGAGGGGGGGAACAAACCAAAGGCCCCATGGCGCGTCGGACGGGGCGTGAGGGGGGGAGAAAATCGAAGCAGCCCCGCGGTGCGCCGGAAGGGGCGTGAGGGGGAAAAAACGGGACGCGAGGGGGGGAAAAAAACCAAAGGCCCCATGGCGCGTCGGACGGGGCGTGAGGGGGGGAGAAAATCGAAGCAGCCCCGCGGCGCACCGGAAGGGGCGTGAGGGGGAACCCCGCGGCACGTCGGAAGGGGCGTGGGGGGAGGGTACTTGCGTCGTGGTGCTAAAGCGGGAAGTCCTTTTCTGGCGAGGCTATAGGCCGGGACGAGCGCTGGGAGGGGAGCAACACGCATCACAGTTCTGGATTGGCGCTTCTTTCTTGACGGTATTGGTGTTTGATGGCATTTGTAGCGAAGTTAGTAAATCCTCGTTTGTTGTCATGAGTGCACTTTGGTTGAAGAGCCAGGGAGGGTGTGCCGTGTTTCTCGTAGGCGTTCGCGTCCACATGTTCAGTATTTGCTGATAGTCATTCGGTTGAGGCCCCCATTGATTGCGGCTACGTGATGCCGTTCTCTAGGTTGCGAAATGCGCAGGAAGATAGGATACGGTTGGAACCGTTGAAGGAACGTATGAGGAAAATTAGGGCACCTGTTGTACGTCCGCCAGAATAGAGGATTGTCGAAAAATGCATGCCGGTTATATGTCGCTCAGAAAATGTAAGACGATTGCCTTATGCCCCGGTGCGCTGTGTTACGCCAGCGAGGGGCTGGCGATTTCGATGTTTGTCTGACGTTTGTTTGAAGAACAGACAGTAGTGCAGCCGCATGGTAGTTCTTTGGACCAGCTCTTCAGGATAGTCTTCCGCTATTATTGCTTACCAAGAGTTGAGATAGGGCGTTGTTGGAAACAGGGTGATGATCTCGGTACATCATGCAGGCAGAAGATGATGGCACGCCGCCCACGTTTGTAGATGGAGATTCCGAGCGTGTACTCTGGCGCGACTGGCATTATGCATGTACTAATCTTGCTCTAGTAGCGCAACAACGGCAGTGCCTGATGGAGCGTTGAATATTGGTGGGGGGTTTCACCCGGAGGCCGGGTTTGCCCCTGATATTTTTCTGGGTTGGTTTTTGTCAGTTTTGTTTTTGGTCACATCCGGCGTGTGCATGCGCACTAGTGGTTAGCTACTAGCGCAAAGAACCAGGGAGGGTGTTCGTGTGTGCATGAGCGGATGAGAATATTCCAACGGGACTGTAGGAAATGGCTACGCAGATAGGAATTTATAGTCCCCTGGGTTGGTTTCATGTCTGATCCACGGGGCTCGGACCCGCGGGAGTGCTTGCTGTGTCGCGGCACTCTCCCTCTCCCGCCGCATCATGATCGTGTCTGCTGTCCTAAATACAAGTGATACCATCATCTTCAACACACATACAAAAAATACTAACACCTACGACTTCCGAAGGGCTTCCGAACGGCTTCCATACCACTTCCATGGAAGTTGTGAACGAGAACTTCAGGCTTTGATGGAAGTTGTCCAAGCTTCCATGGAGGCATCACAGTGGGATTTTGACAGATACCCGGCTACTTTCAGTTTCATGGCAAACTTCCGTCCATGTCCGCATCACATTCTTCAACAAGGTCCTCCACGGATGCCAATCCGCTCCGTCAATATCGAGGGGAATGATCCCCTTCCAGGGGGCACGCGGGGAGGATTGTTCGCCCGAATATGTTTACCTCTTACGTTCCCTTTGGGCGGGTGTTGATCTGTGCGACTTTGAGATGAAGGAATAGATAGGCCGTACTCCGCCCACCATTCACCGTCAACCGATCTCATCGCGGTTGGTCAGTGTTGCGGCGGCACCATCGGACTTCCACGACACCTGATTGGGTCGTTGATTGAGACACAGGCGCCTGCTTCATGCACCAATCGGGACACAGACTTCCAGGCCACGCCTCGCCCGTCTTTGCATCTCCAGGCAGGGACTCGACGATCTCGCAGACGGATTCAGGGATCGCTTCGACGTGGAACGGCAGAAGAGCGCTAGGGAATTCCGAGCACACCTGACGCATGATCAATTTCGGACGGTAACAATGGGGGACAGAGATTAGGACTAAACTACTGTAACAAACTCAGGCTGAAACTGGTCCTTGCGGCGCGTTCCAGCCTTTGCCTGCTACGGAAGTCTTCATGTTGAAATGTTTGTTTGGTGTACTGCACTACAATCGCATGTTGGTTGCCGCCCCGTCTAGTTCGGGAGCCAGTCTACACCTTCCCGCGTATGTTTCACGCGCCAGCCAAGTCACACATCTCTGGAGCATCAACCAGAAACCGAACAATACGTGTTGTTTTGGCTAGCCTGCATACATACCCACCTGGAACGCCTTCCCGAACTCGGCGTTCATTTTTCGAATTTCGTCGGTTGATGCGGCGGCCTTTGCATAGAGTTTCGCCTTCGTTTCCACGGCCCGGCCGATCATGACTTGCCAATTGCATTTCACACGCAGGCAGGCCGGTGAGAGACGATAGGAGACCCCTTGGCTTTGGATCGACCTTGAAGGAGAATGTGTAGACCGGCTCAACGTCGCCGTTAGAAAAATGTCTCTCATCCTTCGCTCTACATACAGCCATCCGTTGGTTTCATAAAACAGACACCACCAAATTGATTGGAACAAACGTTTCAGCCCGGGCAAGCATTTGCCTTCGACTTACATTAGCCAGCATCTCTATTATCGTGGAGTGCACCATGATTGTCCCGTTGCGCGTTTCGGGGTCGGAAGCGTCTGAGGAGACGTAGTGGAACCCTGGAAAGTTGCGCTTTTCCCAAAACATGTCCACCACCACGGCCGCCACACACGATTGATGTGTGTTGTTCCGGCCTTCGTACTCTAAATGCCTGTAGAAACCCCCAACGGAAACAACGCTGGTAAGTTGCGCTTTTCCCAAAACATGTCCACCACCACGGCCGCCACACACGATTGATGTGTGTTGTTCCGGCATTCGTACTCTTCGGCATTCACGCGTGAATCGCCCAAAGGAAACAACCCTGGTAAGTTGCGCTTTTCCCAAAACATGTCCACCACCACGGCCGCCACACACGATTGATGTGTGTTGTTCCGGCATTCGTACTCTAAATGCCTGTAGAAACCCCCGCTTTAATGCATACATCTAGCCGTAGCTACTCATTGATCAACAATTTACTCTCCGGCAGACCGACCTCCCAAAAGAAATCTCTTTTTCGGGGAAGCCAGGGGAGCCAGATGTGGTTGAAATTCTAACTCGATACAGAGCACGTGTGAAGTTAGCCTGCGTTGCGGCCGATGACCCACCCGAAGCTGTAGTGGACCAAAGAGCGATCCAATTTCTCCCGTGTATAATTCGAGATCGAGCCCACGACACCGTAGTCGAACTGGTAAGTGGCTCTCTCGAATGGCGGTCGGCGAGTCGTTTAACCGCACTTCGGAACACAGGACAAGTAGTCAGGCCAAGAGCACCCGCGACTTGGGACGAATACTGTCAGGCCTTTACCTTCCAATACTCCGCGCCCAACCACTTGGCGGTCTTAGCCAGAGAAATCGCCACTATACAGCAGGGAGATAACCAGAGAGTAGACGGCTTTGCGCTCAAAGTATCTCAGGCCCGCACGCGCCTCCTCGCGGAGGCTTCTCGTTCAGGTCCTTCTCACGTCAGCCCTCACGAACATGCATGGGACGCTTTCATGACCGCAACGTTTGAGAACGGCCTTTTGCCTCACAAAAGGGTGGAATGTGTTAGAGAAGACCCCACTCACTCATTTCAGGAAGCACGTCTTCGCGCAAAGAAACACGAAGCCAACAATCTCAGAGGCGTCTCGTCACCCACCACCAATACGGTATCCGCTGTCATGTACGAAAAACCTCCGCAGCTAAAGAGCACTGTCTCATCGAACACCGAGGTGATCAAAGAACTCCAAGCCAAACTAACGAAGCTGGAACCCATGCAGCAGCTGGGAAATCGTGCGACCCAACAGGGTGCATCGAAGAAGCCG